GAAAATATTTATAGCTATGGGGATTCACATGGGTGTTAAAGTGAAACAAGTAGAGAAAGATATGGGCCTGGTGCTGTGGTTGCACAGAAGGAAGCGGTGGAGTTAGGAAAGACAGATGGATTTCTCCAGGTGGAGAAGATGCAGTGGGAAAGTGAAGGATGGGGGTTCCAGGTGAGGAACAGCGCAGAGAGCGGTGGAGGCGTTGAGGGGAACTCCAGGTAGCTTAATGTGAAAGTGATGCCCAGAAAAGCTGAACGAGATCCCATGGGTCCCTGTGAGCCAAGCTGAGCCTGAACTTTGTCCTTGAGATAATCCCCGAGTTTCACGATCGCTGAGTCTCAGAGAATGCCGTGGCAGTAACAAGGACCGGGTGGGACTTGGGTTGGGAGATCAATTGGTGAGAAATAATGAGGGCCCCGCAAAGCCAGCAGTGGTGGGGCTGAGTGAGGGGGCACTCAGAGACACTTGGTGATATTTAGGGGCCACTCGGTGTCTGGCAACCCTGCCAGGTTTCTAACAGGGACCAATGGTGAATGCTCTGGGGAGCTGAATGGCAGGTTTGGGGAGAAGACAGTAAGATTTTTGGATCTGCTGAGATGGAGATGCTCACGGGACACACACAAGATGTCTATAAGGAAGTTGGCCATATGGCTCTGGACCCAGGAGCACAAGAATGTAGATTTGAGGGAAACAACATACTGATCAAGCACCTACTGTGCTGCAGGCACTGGGGCTGCCGCAGTGCAGAAAACTGTGTAGTGGGGTGAGAGGCTCAGTGAAGAGGGTAGCATGAGGCTGACAGGTGGGGAGCGGCTGTTTCCCCAGGGAGGGAGAGGGAGCCCTCCTTGAGTGACAGAGCGGGTGGCCACCAGGGGATCTGTGCAAGTGCAGGCCTGGTGCAAATGAGAGAGGGCTGGCCGCAGTTCAGGGAGTGACGAGAGGTCAGAAAGGGACAGGACCGAGGTACCACGCAGAGACGTAGCAAGACACTGGGAGGACTGGGGATTTTATTCTGAAGGTGATCGGAAGTCGCTGGCTGACTTGAGTCAGGCTGTCCTAATCTGATTTGCAATTTAGAGTCATTCCATTAGAAAATTATCTGGAGATAGGCAGCCTGGGGATGCTGATCAAGTTCAGTCAAGGTCAGGGCAGTTAGCAAGTGAGAGAGATGGAGGAGGTGCGGGGCTACAGGCCCTGCTTGCTGGCGGCTGTGGATCCACAGTGCTGGGAACAGGGGCTGGCACAGCCGGGGCTCCCTGGGTGTTGTGGTACATGGATAAGTCATGGCAGAGAGGGTTTAAGCGGCAAGGGCAGAGCCATGTGAGGCTGAGCTGGCGAAGGAAAAGCAGAGCTGGAGAGGAGTTGCCAGCCCCAAGGCAACGCGCTCATGAGCCCCCCAGGCAGTTGGAAGGCAGATCTCGCCAGTGGGTCCACACTTGTAGATCTCACAGCCCACAATTTGGTGAACTAACACTGGGCTGCCTACTTTTTATTTTGTAAGCAAAAGCCTAAAAAAATAATAATATTAATAATAATAATTCCCAACTACTATCATAATGAGAATTAGATGATTTAAAAGAAAGAGCATTTTACTACACAGGAATGATATGAACACGGAATACATTTCAATCCTTTAAACTGAATAGATTTTTCTTGTGGAAATCCCACTACACTGCTCTCTGATGTCACTTAACCACCAGGGGACAGGCTTCAGGAACAGGAGGACGATGACGTTGGCAGGTTTTGTTATGAAAAAGCTTGGGGGACAGAGTCTGAAGTCCTTCTCTGGAATGTGAGTGAGGCAGAGTCTTGCCATTTTAAATCTGCTTCCTTGAGGGCTGGTTCCTCAGTTCCCGGAGGAAGAGTGAAGAGGCTGGTAGCCGTCATCCTGACCCTCACTTGCACGGGTGTCACTATAAAACTATGTGGTGACTTGATTCTCTTACCCATGAACGCTGCTGAGGGCTGCTCCGGTCTCCACCACCCAGCTCAGCACCAGGACAGATGCACACACAGCATCTTCTGTCTTCACGGAACTTACAATCTAGCCAAGAAGATGAAAACCACATGCAAAAAGGAATTATGGGGCCATAAGAACTGACGAAACAGAAGAATGTTGTATCTAATTCGGAGTCTTCTGTGAGCATTGTCTTAACCATCTGAGCAGCTCCAGTGTCTGGCAGGGAGCTTGACCCTAGTTGGCACTTGATACATGTTGACTAAATGGACGTGACCTGGGATGGTCTTCAAGGAAAAGGCTGTGAGCTAAGCCTTCAAGAATGGGTGAAACTACAAGGTCCTACTGTACGTATAGCACAGGGAACTATATTCAGTAGCCTGTAATCACCTATAATAACAAAGAATATGGGGGCAGGGAAATAGCTCATAATAGTGGTAGAGCACATGCTTAGCATACACAAGGTCCTGGGTTCAATACCCAGTACCTCCATTTAAAGAAAAGTATATGAAATAGAATATATATGTGCGTATAACTGAATCACTATGCTGTACACCAGAAACTAAGAGAACGTTGTGAATCAACTATATTTGAATTTAAAAAAATTGAGATTTGCACAGAAGGGAAGATAAGGTGTTCAGAGGGTCGTGGAGGAGGGAACATCATGAACCCAGGACATCCATCCATTCAACAAAGATTTGCTGAGCGCCTACCATGTGCTGGGTCGTGGATGTAATGGATCTGCCAAAAAGAAAAGTAAGCAAATACTTAAGGTCATGTCACATAGTGCTCGGGGTAAAGTGTTGGACAGCGCTGGGCGAGGGGTGGGGGTGACTTTCGAAAGTGTGGTCCTAATGAGGATCTCACTGAGGAGGTGACACTGATTTGCGACCTGGGGGAGGAATGTTTCAAGCAGCAGGAGCAGCAGGAAGAAGCTTGGTTTTTGCCATCAGCTGACTTTGCTGTTGCAGCCGGCTCAGAGGAAGGCGGGAAGACCTAGAGTTTAATCAGCGTTGTTAGACTATGAGCATTGTGTCTAGCCAGACAGGAGTCATCCCGAATGAATACAGAATTCAGTCACCTGACAAAGGTGAACGATCTGGTGGACTCGCATTCAAGAGTCTTTAGAAACTAACTGAGAGAGAAGGGTGGCCAGCTAACGCTGAGGTGGGAAATTACTGTGGATTATTCAGTGGGCCCAAGGTAATCACAAAGAGAGAGAACCAGAAGGAAGGCAGCCTGAGACTCAGTCTGATCTTGTCAGCCTCGAAGATGGAGGAAGGGGCCCGTAAGCCAGGAAAGCAGGTGGATTCTAAAGCTGGAGAAGGCAGAGAAATGGATTCTCCCTTAGAGCCTCCAGAAAGGAATACAGCTCTGCTGCCACCTTGATTTTAGCACATTGAGACCCTTGGCAGATTCATAACCTCCAGAATTGTAAGGTAGTGACTTTGTGTTGTCTTAATCCACTAAATTCGTGGTACTTTGTTACAGCAGCCACAGGAAACTGATACAGATCTTGGTACTGAGCAGTGGGGCAGGCTATCACAGAGACGGCTTTGCATGGGGCAGTGGAAAAGGCTGGAAGAACTCTGAGGAACATGACAGAAAAAGCCTAGATCGCCCCGAACACACTTGGTAGACACAGAAATGTTAATATTCCCTGCTCACTGGGTGACCTGGCCGTGCAGCCAGGGTGAAAAGGCAGGTAAGTGCCACCCAGGGGAGAGGTGGGTCCATGATTCAAGGTCGCTGAGGACAGACGCCTCGAGGGTACGGTGTCTGCTTACAGCAAGAGAGGAGACAGAAAGCGGACAAGATTCAGCCCCTGGCAAACTGTCCATCTCCCCCCCCAGCGGGTCCACTCCGCAACACCAGAGGGCAGTGAGGCTGTGCACACTCTACTCCATGCCGCGTGGGAGGGCCCCCAACTCCTCCCCAGTGAGGCCTGAAATACAGAAAACTGGGGGCCGCCGCCGCAGGCACAGTAAGCAGGACGCAGGAGCACACACTGAGCCCGAAACAGGGAAAGACGTTCCCGCGCAGGGTGAGAAGTCCCGCGCAGGCTGGGAGGCCCTTTGTGTCTTAGCAAAAAGTGTCCCGGGCCCAGGACTCATTTTCACGCGGCCGAGCCAGCAGGGGAGAAAGAGAGGTGCCTCCCCAAGAACTAACAGTCAGCTAGAGAGGCCCCAGGAGGGGTGAGGGGCACAGCAAAGGGACATACAGCACTTTGGAGAAAACCTGAACTGTCATGGGAGGAATAAGGACCCCACATTCTCATCTCTGCGGCCGTCCGGCTGCTGCCCACGAGCCAATGCGTTTTTACCCAAGCCCACGAGTGTATTTCGCTCTAGTCACTTAACATAACGTTCATAACAGGTTTTCATGTCCCTACCTAATTCTCATAATTATCCCTTGAAATGGCAGCCTGGCATTCCAATCAGTTGATTTGTCATAATTTGTTCAGTCATTCCCCACTGTTTTTTGTTGTTGTTGTTGTTGTTAATAAAGATAATTCTGAAATGAGCACCTACGTTCAATGCTTTATTGACTTATTTAACACTAATAAGTGTAATTAGAAATAATTAAGTTGTATTTCTTTAAAAGTATTTAGTTCGCTCTTTTCCCCAATGGACAATTAGTCCCAGTTCCCAGGAGGAAACGCAGACGGAGAAATAACAATAACACAGAAGACACAGAACAGATCCTGGCAATCAGGCCTGACTTGGTTTCCGAGATGCCTCACTTCTAGGGACCAAGGGCAGATGGCATTTTTCTTCTCCTTGGTGCCACCGGGGAGCTTCTGGTTTGAGGCTTGGTGGAGACAGACAAAACTCACGCTGTGCATTAATGTTAATCTTATCTTATCAGCCCGTCCTCGGAAAGTGTCCTCCTGGGGAAAGTCAGTAGGGTCCAGAGACCAAAAGGGTAAAAAGGTCTGGCAGGCCCTGGGGAGCAACAGCAGATCCTGCTAGTGGTCAGCACAGAGCAGGACCCACGTGTCTATCTGGGAGAGAGAGCACACCTGTTTCTCACCTGAAAAAGGATGGAGGAAAAAGAGGCAGGGACTCCTCCGCTCACCCCATCCAAGAAGGGGGTGAGTACCAAGTCTAGGAAACTGTCCCTGTCCCTGTGCTACTAGGACTGTGGTGGGAGGGGCAGAGAGGACAGCACTGCCCCCGCCTCTCCTGGGTTGGGTGCCAGCCCTGGGAGAGTACTGGGGGGAAACATCCCAGCTCAGACACAAGACGGGGGGCTGAGTCCAGCTCTAGTGAAGTGTGGGAGACCCCTGCCCCCATCCTGCTCCCCCCACATCAGGAGGTGCCAGAATCCTGCTCTTCTCTGCCAGGTTGGTTCTCTGGCTGCACAGGGCTGAGGCGGCCGACAGTCAGACAGCTGATGGTGGGGGTGAGCGTCGGAGGTGCAGGTAACAGGCCAGCACAGGGGTTGGGGGGTGGGGTTCTGGGGCTGTGGCTCTGTACCAACTGGTTTTTTGGGCCCTGAGTGGCACCAACTCAGGCAGCCACAGACCCTGCCCCAGTTCTGCCACCCCCTCCTCAGACTTTGGCCCTGGGGCCAGTTCCCCAAAGTGGCCCTGGGTCCTGGGCTAGCTGGGGAAATGTGATTGTCTTGGTTTTCCCAGGGGTCTGTCCTGGAGTCAAAGACAAGCCACATGTGTCCTTTGGGGCCTCTGTTTGCTGCTGCCTCTGTCTGGAATGCTTTTCCCCCAGATGCTCACAGGCCCTTCTCATCCGTTCAGGTCCCAGCTCAGAGGCACACCCTCAGAGAGGCCCTCACCGCCCACTGGCTTCTGTCCCTTTATCTGTTTGATTGCCCTAACAGCATTAGCATTATTTGGAAGTTTGTTTTGGTTTGGTTTTTGGCCTCCCCTTACCAGAATGTAAGCTCAGCAAGGGCAGAGACGCTGGCCCTGTTCCCTGAAGCTCCCCCCTACTTCATCCAGTGTCAGGCACAGGGCCAGACACGGAGGAGATGCTCAGATACATCTCTGAGGATGGGGACATGTGCAAGGCACAGGAAATGACGCTGCCCAGTCCCCCAGCCTCGGGCCACCTTCCCAGCTTCCCGGGGCCCCAACCCCTACTTCCGGCCCTGCCTCAGCCCCACTTCCAGAAGCTCCGAGGGCCAACCCCCGAGTCCCTGACAGAAGACCTCCTCTCCCACAGAGCCTCCAACCCACACTGGTGTTGGCCACACTGAGCACAGCCTTTGGCTCGGCCTTCCAGTATGGCTACAACATCGCCGTGGTCAACACGCCGCACAAGGTGGGCATGAGGTGGGCATGAAGTGGGCGGGAGATGGCTGCCATCTTGCTGTGTGGAGGCCACCATCTTTCTTCCAGAAGCCAGGTCCTTTTTCCGGAAGTCACCGTCTTCCACTAGTACTCCTGCCTCTGGAGATCAGGGGATGACTAGGGTTGTTGGGTTGTTCCCCCGGGGCACATTGGGAAGAATGCGGGGGATGGATCTGGACTCCCTGCCCGTGGCTTTGGTCCCACTGCCCTTCCCCTGGGAAGGCCACTTGCAGATGACAAAGAGAATGAGGTCAAGGACTGAACTCTTAAGGCTTGGGATAGGGGTGAGGGGAAGCTAAGGATAAAGAGTGTCCCCAAGGCCTAGTAAAGCATGCCAGTCAGGAGGGAGGGACAGGCCTGGATGGTGAGTCAAGATGAGGAAGGAGAGCTGACCACTGGCTTTGACCTTACGGAGGGCATGAGTGACCTTGGCAGGAGCAGCTCAGGTGAGAGAGAGATTGGAGTGGGTTCGAGGGAGAATGAGCAGAGTGGAGGAGAGACAGTGGGGACAGACAGCATTTTGAAGAAGCTTTGTTGCACAGGAGAGCAAAAATGAAGCTTAGTGAAGGGGGTGAGGGGGTCACGTAGGTTTTTCTAGGGCAAGAGTCATGTTGGTATAGTGACAAGAAGGATGCAGTAAAGAAGGAAGGACCAAGGGGGAGGGTACAGCTCAGTGGCAGAGCGTGAGCTTAGCATGCACGAGGTCCTGGGTTCAATCCCCAGTGCCTCCATTAAATAAATAAACCTGATTACCTCCCTATCCCTCCCCACCAAAATTTTTTAAATGAAATTTAAAAAAAGAAGGAAGGGCCAGTGATGCAGGACGGACAGGGGACAGTTACAGGGAGAAAGTCCCTGAAAGGCACAGGCAGGACCCAGTGTCTTTCCCGTTCGTTTGGGTACGCGAGTCCTGCTGCACTTTAAACATTACCGTCATTAGTTTATAGCTACACTTTGTCCTGCTTCACAGGAGATTCTGTAGCAGTTGCTCATGGCTTACTTTAATATACTTATCATTATTACCATTGAAGGAACATTTTTTCTCAATCAAACAGTGTACCATCACTAGATCACAATGAATGCTCACAAATTCTCTATTATTATATTATTACTTCTATAATCGATGAAGAAACTAAGGCTTATAGAAGTAAGATAACTTGTCCAAAGTCCCACAATTAAATTTGTGGGGAGGGGAGAGGCAATTAAGTTTGTCTGTTTGTTTATTTATTTATATATTTATAAAATGGAAGTACTGGGGATTGAACCCAGGACCTCGTGCATGCTGAGCGCACACTCTACCACTGAGCTACACCCTCCCCCTAAAGTCGCACAATTAGTAACAATATTTCTTACATTGCCTATTACATAGTAAAGCTCGGCAAAGTAAATTTTTTTAAATTATTTTTTATTTATTTATTTTAGGTGGGGAGGTAATTAGGTTCATTTATTTATTTATCTTTAGAGGAGATACTGGGGATCGAACCCAGGACCTTGTGTATGCTAGGCATGCACTGTACCGCTTGAGCTATTTCCTCCCTGCAAGGTGAATTTTTAACGGTGAATTTTTAACAGCTTTTTGTGAAGCCTGGTTCCTCATCTCACCCCGTCATAAAGTAGGCTTTTTTATTTCCAGTAACAACAGAGAATCAGGTGTGTCCTAGGGGCACTGGCAGAGCCATCCTTCAGTACAATGACAAGAGGCAACTGAGAATTTTACCTCCTCATCTCTCATGAGTAGCCTGCTGTTCTTGATCATGGATGGGGCGATGTTTTCCAGGTCTTGAAGTCCTTTTATAACGAAACCTACTTGGAGCGACACGGAACCTCCATGGACGAGAGGGTCACGCTGTTGCTGTGGTCTTGCACGGTGTCCATGTTTCCTCTGGGCGGCTTGGTGGGCTCGCTGGTTGTCGGCCTGCTGGTTGACAAATGTGGCAGGTAAAGGGGGGCGCACTGCTCACTCAGAATTCACGTTAGTAACTCTCACTGTCTCTTGGCGAGTGTACCTCTGCTGGGGAGATGTGTGACCTTGAAAATC